TCCGAATACGAATTTCTAATTGATTCCACAGATGCTCTATTGGATTCAAATCAGGAGATTGACTTGGCCAATTTTTCGAACTTTTTACTTTTTTGTTTCAATCCAATTTTTGACAATTTTTGCCTTGACATTTTGAAATTTTGCATACATATTTTTGAGAACTTTAGTCACAATTCGATGAAATTTATTTGTGCTTTATTATGTACGTTTTTCGTAATTAATTTTTTTGTGGTGACCGAAACTTTTGTCCAGGGAGTGTATAAACATGTACACACAAAGTATCGACTCACTTGATGATCCGCCAAAATAATCGAATAAACGGGTAATACAAATACTCGTTTTTTTATTAAGCAAATCGATGTTGTGTATTAATGAGAAAATGTTGTTGAAATGATTCCCATAAAACTCTAAAATATCACATTGGATTGGTTGTTATTGATGATTTTATAATGTTTAAAAGTCAAATTAAAATTTTTCGAAAATTTTTCGAAAAAGTAGCTCTTAGAGCTATTTTAAGATACAATGTTTTAACACATCTTGGAAACTTAGGAAATGTTGTTCCGCTTGTTCTCAAATGTATATATATAAATGTTCATAATTATTGATCAAATATTTATGGAGGATTAATACAAAACGTAAAAAAAAATCGTAATGAATTTTTTATGAAAGACGATTATCATTATGCGCGAACAAACTTTAAAAGGCAATTGCAGCTGAAATATCTAACCAAAACTAGATTTTTTTTTAAAAAAAAAAAGATTGAACTTTCAATTTGTTGTTTCAATTAAAACATCATGTCTCAATTAACAGACTTTGAACGAGGAAGAATAATCAAGTGTTGAGAAGCAGGCGAAAGCACCCATGACATTTCTGGTGCACTCAATCATTCTCAGTCGCAAGTAACTCGTGCAATAAAAGCATTTAAAGAAGAACATCAAATACTATTGCCCAAGGAGTGGAAGACCTCCAGCCTTAAATGATTGTGATGTTAGACAAGTAAAAAGACTTACTAAAAAATAGAAATAAACCTATTGAGCAAATTACTGATTCAGTAAATGAATCTTTATCCACTTCCATTTCTACCACAACTGTTTGTAATTATCTTCATGAAGTAGGTTATTACAGTCGGATTGCATCAAGAAAGCCTTTCGTTTCAGAAAAAAATCATCAGAAACATTTAAAATGGTGCAAAGAACGGAAAAATGGAACACAGAATGGAATTATATCATTTGGAGTGATGAATCAAGATATACTTTGCATCAAAGCGATGGTAGGCAAAGGGTCTGGCGCCTACCAAAAGAAAAGTATGATGTTGATTGTCTTGTACCTACCTTTAAACATGGTGGAGGGGGTGTAATGGTATGGGGTTGTTTTGTTAATAATTGTATAGGACCTTCCTTTGGTGGTAATAGATGGTAAAATTAATGGTAAAGGTTATCAAGAACTTCTTAGAGATAATTATTACCCTTTCTTAATGGACTGGAGGATGGTTCTTTTACGTTTCAGTATGACAATGCTCCTGTTCATACAGCTGGAGTAGTAATTCAATGGAAAGAGACGAATTTAACATCTTCACTTCCTTGGCCCGCTCAAAGCCCAGACCTTAATCCAATAGAACATGTTTGGGACCAATTAGAAAAAGCAATTCGCAAAAGAAATCCTCCAAAAAATACAAATGAATTAGTTTCTTTATTTAATGGATGAGTGGGCAAATCTTGATTGTGATTATTTGCAAAAATTAGTAGACAGCATTCCTCAAAGGGTTCAAGCTGTAATTGAATCAAAAGGAAACCCGACAAAATATTGAATAAATGAATGAAATATTTATACTTTTTGATACTTTTGATATAATTTACAGTCAAACCTCGTTTCAACGGATCTATGGGACTGACCACCTAAATCCGTTGAAACGAGATAATGATCTACAGGA